CTGAGCTGCTGCCTGCAGAGAGACGAGGAGCGGCGCTGGTCTGCCAACGAGCTCCTGCAGGTAAAATGCCAAGGGGCTGAGGTGAAACAGTGTCTGAGGGATGGGCTCCTCCTCCACCGAGGTCCGAGGCATCAGATGAGCCCCCTTCCTCCTCAGCTCCACTCTTGGTGCTCTTCAAATGAAAATGCTGAGGAGTGCTAGACTGGGCTGGGCTGGCAGGGCTCTGTAAAGTCCTCTGGTCCAAGTGTCCTGCAATGAGCAGGGACATCTTTAAAGAGATCAGGTTGCTCAGAGCCCTGTCCCACCTGACCTGGAATGCTTGCAGGGATGGGGCACCTACAAGCTCTTGGGACAACCTGTGCCAGGGTGGCACCCTGCTCTGAGTAAACAAGGTCTTCCTTAGACCTACCCTGATTAGATCCCCTTTGTGTATAAAATTATTTGACCACATTCTACTGAAACTGGACCCGATAAAAAAAGACGTCCCTCACTTTCTTCAAAACCCCTCTGAAGTCTTGCAAAGTGGCAATAAAGTCTCACTGAGGCCCGTTCTTCACAAAACTGAATAACTCTACCTCTCTCTGCAGAACAGAGGTGTTCTGTTTTCTGACTGTTTCTGTCACCCTGTTTTGTAGTTTGGTGGTGTGTTCTGTTTTACCTAACAGCAAAAGAATTGAAGTAGCGCATTGTAGAGAGACATGAAATGGTGGTGGAGGAACCCAAGGCTGCCAGTCCTGGCACAGCACTCTGGAGAGATTTGGCTGTGGGCAGGAGGGGCTTTGAGGGACTCACTGTGAGCCTCTGAGGGGCCCTGGTTTGTGCCCCCCACCCCACCCTTAGAGGTTTCTGGCACACAAACAGGGACAGGTGAGAGGGACTTGTCCCAGCCCCATCTGCTGCCTGGCATGCTCAGGCAGAGGGGAACTGTCCCAGGCTGACTGCCAGGTTGTGTGGCAGAGAGGGAACTGCAGGACCCAGCGCCACTCGGCTGGCCCTGCTGGGAAGGAAGGTGCCATCCCACACAGGAGGGGCAGGGCATGGAAAGGCAGACACTGCTCTGTGTGCCTGTGGAAATTAGCACGGTGCCTGTCTTTCCAAGACAGGGACCTATGGGAGTCATTGGAGCTTCCTGAAAGGAAGAAACCCCAGGGACAGAAAGCACCATTTCTAGAGCACTAGCAGGGCAAAAATCCCAGCAAGATGGAGAAACCAGAATAAATGGATGAGTGGGATTCTGGGCCAGGTTTGCCTGTGATGGCAAGGTCCTGCACTAAAAGATGGAGGTGCAGATGGTCCCGTCACTCCTCTTTTTGGGTCTTTGTAGGAACTAGAGGAATCCTGATTGAGTTTTTGAAGGATTGAGCTTGGAAAGTCATGGCTCACTGTTCTTGTTGTTCTTTTCTTTCCTGTGGACAGCATCCATTTGTAACATCAGCCAAGCCAGCGTCCACCCTGGCACCACTCATCAACTCAGTGAAGAAGAAGAAGGAGAAGACAAGAATGTAACAATCAAGATGTTATCTCCATAACCAAGTTAGAGTAGGATTGTGGAGTAGGACTCTAGAGTAGGATTGTTGAGTAGTTTTCTAGTATAGGTTTATAGAGTAGGATTTTAATTCAATAAAGTTTCTCAAACATCAACTCATTTGGAAGATTCCCCTCCTTCTGACCCCTTCAGAAAACTCAACATTTCCTTCTGAATTACCAGTTGTTTTTTATGGGTGTTAAGTCACACTTACAGCTTCTTTTGTATGGTTTTTATGTGGGAGAAGGCTCTTCTTCATTCATCCTCTGCAGACCACACTGTCTTTGGAATATGGCCCACCGGCCCCGTTTGGCACATCTGTGGCACTTCCAGCTGAGGCAGAAAGGGCAATGGCATTTGCAGGAAAAACCAAAGGGCGAGTGGGGCAGCCAAAACATCCTGTGCAGATGCAGGCCTTCAGCTGTGACTCGAGAGCATTTGGGTGCCTGCCACTTGGATTTGTATCGCGAAGGGCAATGTCTTTGGCCGGAGGAGAGCCTTGCTCAGCGGAGAAAGCAGAAAGATCAGAGAGGTGCTCTGAAAGGTCTCCTGCGGTGCAGAGCTGTCAGCGAGTGTGAGGTGAGAGCGGGCCCGGCCTTGCCCGGCGTGGAGCCGCAGCAGAGCCCTGGCAGAGCCCGGAGCAGCCTGAGCCTGGGCAGGGGCAGGCTGCAAGGAGGCTCTTGTAGCTGCAGGAGGCACAGCCCGGCCCTGCGTGCCTCTTGTTGCTGTCATGAATGAGGTGCCATATGTCAAATTTAATAAACAAAAAGTATTTAAAATGTAGCAGCAATTTTGATTGAGGTATTAAAAAATATAAAATAATAATAAAATCAAATATAGTGAAGGAGTTACAAATAGAAATTTGGCAGTGGTTCAGATAAAGCATAAGCAAAACCGATCGGGGTACAGGGAGAATCTCCCAGCCTGCTGCACGTACAAAAGGCAAAAAATCCAAGCTCAACTTTTATATTGTATGCTAATACATATTCATCAATAGTTTCTGTAAATCTCCTCCCAGTTTTGCTTCTTGAAATCTATCTCACTATATTACACAGCACATGTGCCCATTGTTGCTGGGGGGGTCTTCTGGACTTTTCAGGGGTCTTCTTGGGTGAAGGCCTTCCTTGCTGTCCTCTGAATAACCTGTCAGGCTGCACATGTACATTGAGATTGGTGTTATAAACGTAAGAATTATGTTCCAGTTTTGGGTTTTCTATTTGGTATTATATCAACTTACTAGTCTTCAAGGGCGTTCTTGCCTAAGAAGTTGTCAGGACTTTCATTTGTCTCAGTGATGACACTGCTTTTGGAGTTTTCCCCAGCTTTGTCCTTCCCAAGGCCGTTTGTGTTAAAATATCTCAGTATCCTATCCTGTATCTTATGAACATCTGTGAACATCTGTTTTTTTGATGTTAATTACATATCACCTCTATTACTTTTTAAGAAATATTTTCTAAAATATTGATAAAGTTACAATTATTAGCACAAATCATATTCATTTATCACAACTCTATGTGGCTTTGTTTGAAGGTACAGGTTCGAAGCAAACTCCCTTGGTTCCTCCCTGAGTCCTGGCCAAGGGGAGGATGAGACCAGATGTTCCTGCACTAGAAGTTATGGTAGCTTGTTTATTCAACAGTATAAAATCTGGGCCCTCTCACAGCAAGGTTGGTGGCCTCTCCTGAGGGTGGGCAAACCACACAGGAATTCACAGTTACTGGGAGTGCTTCTCCAACCCTTTGGTGTGACAGGGCATCCCCAGCTGACGTGTCTGTCAGGACAATGGTCAAGCATTAGGGTAACTGGTGATGTATCTTTTGTAGTAATAATCAGGTGCATTGTTTAACTTGTCCTTTTGTACTTCTTTGCTGCTTTGCCCTACAGTAAATTACACTTCTTCCTTGAGTTGCAGGGGGTGCCTTTGGTGCTGACGCTGCCAGCAAGCCATTCCCTTCAGAACTGGACTCGGTGGATCCCTTCCAACACAGAACATTCTGTGGTTCTGCGATCAGTTCTACAAAGTCTGAATGAGTCAGAATGAGTTTCAGCTAAAACACTTGAAATTATTTGCTGAACTTTAGAGTTGATAGATAGTTCTTGTTGGTGAATAATGGAGGGAGAGAACAGCTTTGTGTGTCCTTCTGGTGTGTCCCCCCAATTTTGTGGGTTCCTCCCTCCATTTTGGGATATCACACCTCCTTTTTGGGTATCTCCACTCAGCAATTTTGGCTTCCACTCCTTTCACTTTGGAAGGAGGGGAAGGAGTGGAAGACAAACTTTGTGCACCCCATCCTCGTGTTCCACACATGCCCAGCATCCGCAGGGTGCACTGAATGGCCAGCAAGGGACTGGGGAGCGCCGGGACCCACAGTGATGTCAGTCTTCCCTCCTGGTTACACACAGGACTCCTCGGCCCTTTCTGGGGTGCCCTGGAGGGCCAGGGCTACGGTGAGGAAGTGTCTTTGCTTCCATCCTGTGCAGGATCATGCTTGGCCCATTATGGCCTCGTGCCCCCCATCTTTCATTGTCCTCTGACATTCCCTATGTTCCTGCACCCCTCTCAAGAGCAGGACTTTGGTGCCAACCCCAGCGTTCCAAATCCATGCATTGCCTCTGTCCCTGTGGTATCCCCGCACGTACTTTATGGACAAGAATACCCCTTAGTTAATCTAAGAATTGATACCTGGGTAACAAGATAATGACCCATGACTCTCAGTGGTTTGCCCCCTCCTCCCTACCTTCTTTTAGGTGCTGAGGCAATGAGATAATGCTTGAGCTATGCTAAAAGCTGTGCAGAAAGAAGTAGTTACTTTGTACCCGGGGATGGGAATGAAGCACTTTCTAGAAATCAGCAAATTTAGCAGAAGAAGCTAACTGCAAAAGGCTAACCAGTGGTCTATTTGAGCAGACAATCTTGTAGAGCATGTGCAGAAACAGAGGTAAAAAATCTGAAGCCCAAGGAAGCCTTCTGAGCCTTCATCCAAAACAACCACCAGAGACTGACCTGTAGAAACTGTACATGTGCTACAAGGGCTCACTTACATAATCATGTAATTAGAAAATATGTTGCAGTATGAAGTTTAGGAATGTATCATGTTCACATCAAGTTCAAAAAGTTTAAAAGCTTGTACTGTGCAAAGAAAGGACAAGTGAGTTTGTGGTGGACTATTGCCCTCACTTCTGTGGCGTCTGTGGGAATCCTTAAAATCAGAGAGTTTTTGGGAACGCTGCAAAAGGCAGGCCTCAGAGGCAGCAGAACTGTGGTTAGAGCTAAGCGGGAGCCATAAGATTTGTCAGCAGAAAAGTTATATAAGACGTAGAAATGTAAGGACAAATAGAACAATGGTCTGTGTATTAACCCTTGGATAGAATGACTCCCTAAGCTACAGAGAAGTGTATCTAGCAAGATATTAGGAAGTTCTAAGATTAATAATGGAGCTCTGTGCATTGTATCCTAAGGCTTACAAGCAGGTATTGTATTCAAAATAAGCAAGCATTGTTTTAACAAAAGGTACGTGTGTTTATAGTAGTTGGAAGGAACTACTGTCAATATGCTTCTGCTTTGTGTGATTGGTCAAAAACTTTTCAAGTAAGTTGTAACATTAAGTTCTTTTTCTTCTGCCAGGGATGTGAGCTGCTGGCATCTTCCCATTGTCATAAGCATGTAATGAGACTGATGCTGGAAAATAAACAGCTCGAGATGTGTTCCTCAGCAGTCCCGTCCTGTTTGTGATTTGTACATAGACCTCTGGCTGGCAAAAGCATATAGATTTCAATTACATAGATGATAAATTAGTATGTATTATTTCATACATTTTGATTTATTTTGATTTCATATGGATTTCTATATTTTCATTTCATATAGATCTGATATATTCCTCCAACTTGGGAGATGTTCTGCTTTCCAAAGGCTTCTGCCCACACAGCAGTCAGCCCTGAGTCTGTGCATGCACACCCACCCACTGTCCTTGCTCTTCTCAGCATCTCGGGGCTGCTGTTTGCACAGAATTGGGATGAATTTAACTCGACAGACCCACAAGTGGGGTGTCCAGCTTGTCAGGAACACTCATGTGGCAGGGCACAACACAGAGCTCTCAAATCACATTATCACAGGTCCTTTCATTCCTGCTGGGCACTGAGGAACTCCTAAAAGCAGCAGAGACACAGAAAAGAGGTGGAAAAAATTGGCATCAGGCTACTGCTGGTATCCTCATGGAGGAAAATCTGTTGGGTTTCTTAAGGTTGTAGCTATCCAAAAACTAGAAAAACTGCTCAGCACCAATTGGGAATGGTTTTCTTGACTTGGCAATACTGGGGTGTTAACAGTGGACTCTGTCCTTGGTTCAAATCACCTGCCCTCACCTGCAGACAAAAGCACCACCACCAGCAGAAGCTACATCAGTCAATTTTCTCAAAAAGCTGTGTTGAATTTGTGGAAGGAAAGGAAAACATGATGGACCCCGTGGATTAATGACAAGACTCTGAGCAACAGTTCCAAAGCAAAGGGCAGCAGGTTCTCTCTGGGACACTCCTTGTGCCCCAAGGCAGCCGGGCTGCCCTGGCTGCCCAGGGCCCTGCGCTCCGTGGGCTCTGCAGAGCTGCACAGCGGGGAGGCAGCTTCGGGCACCTCAGCCCCTGGGCAGGAGTGGCTTCTTGGTCTGGACAGCTCCCTGTGGGCAAATGCAGGGTGCTGGCCTTCTGCTCTTGGCCCTAGCCCGGCCTTGCAGGGCTAATCCTCTTCCCTGTCTCAAATGTCCCAAAGACAGACTTGTTTGTTTCCAGCCCTGCACAGCACTGATTGCACCACAAAATACTGAAGGACTGAGGCCTGAGCAACAGGCCCTGGCTGAAGCCTCAACAACAGGACCTGAGCCAAAGCTGCCCTCTAGGTGATCTTTCCAGCCAAGCGTTCTATGTATCTGCTCCTTAACCAAAAAGGAGCAATCAAAAGGATTGATGCATCCATTCATTGGTGAAACACGGCTTCACCTTCTGGCATTAGGAAACTGGATAAGGCCAATCTGGCCTTGGTTCCTCCTTGAGCCCTGAGCAGGCTTGTGGAGAAAACCAAGAGGAGAATGAAATCAGATGACCCCTCAGCAGGAGCTCTGTCACTTTGCTCATCCAGCACTATCAAAGCTGGGCTACTCTCACAATGCGGTCGGAAGCCTTGTGGCCGGCAAAGGTGGAGGCACCATGGGATTTCCCAGTTCCCAGCCGTGGCTTTCCAGGGCTTGGCTGGAACAGCTTCCCCCAGCTGATGTGCTGCTCTGGATGAAGGAGAAAGGATTGGGGTATCTGGTGATGTATCTCTCAATCACTAGAGGCAACCCTTTGTAATAATGCTGAGGTGCATTGTTTAGCTTATCCTTTTATTCCTTTTTTGCACTTTTGCATTACAGTAAATGACACTATTCCTTCAGCTGGTGTGTCTGCATCTCTGACCCTCCCAACCATCAAAACACACAGCCACTTTAGCACAAGACTGGCCTACCTGCCAGCCCATCTCTTGGAAAACACCTGGATGGCCCCTGATGGCCACTGTTACGGTGAGCTCCTGGACACCCTTTTTCCCCCCTTTCCTAGGGCCTCTGTGGCTCTGATCAAGATAAGCCCTGGATCCTCCTCCCTGCCCCAATGGGGTTGGCGGGGAGCCAGGAGAGCCCACCCTGTCCAAAACCTATATAGACCCCTGAAACTTCCTGCTCTTTCTCTTTTGCCTTGCTCTCCATGGACACCACAGAATAAAGAGAGCTGTTCCAACACCCTGGGTAAGAGCCTCTTTTGAACACTTTTCCCTCTCCTGCTATTTCCTCCCCTCACAGCCCCATATCTCTGAGCTAGTCGGATTTATTCGGGGGGCTGCGTGGAGGGGGGGAAAACCATAGAAATAACAGGCCACCTCAACAAATGAAATTCCCACTGTGCTTCCTTTTCTGCAGGCAGGTGAGAAAAGGAGCCACCCCCAGCTCTGGACACCTCCAGAAACCAACTGCTTTCAGCAGTCACAACCCTAAAACATCAACCTCCTTCTTTAACCTGCCACTGGGAGCTCCCACCAAGAGGTCTTTGTCCAAGGATAGCCACAGAAGTGCTTGAGGATGGAGCAGTTTGAAACACAGCTCCTTCAGAGTTTAAACCTCCCTTTATCAAATGAACACACACCAACCTGTCCCAAAGGGAAAGCAGGCAGGAAAGAGAAGCTCCTCTCCCATAAAAGCAAACTCTGTGCTTCCTTCTGCTCCAGCTGGAGAGTGGAGGCCATGGGCTGTTCCTCAGTTTGGGAAGGAACCCTGGGAATTGGCCTGATCTGGGAGGGCAGCAAAGGGAAGTTCCCCAAAAAGTAGGAAAAGATTCTCTGGAAGCAACAGATTATGACAACACTTCTGCAGAAAAATGAAAAAAAAATTGTAAGTGAAGCATTTCAAAAAGTGCCCAGACTGAAATTTGTGCCCCAACACAACAACCCAAGTCTCTGTGGTGTGTCAGGAAGCTCAGGAATGAACCTGCAAGGCTTAGATAAGCATCCTTGATGTCCATCCCCCAGAGCACAAGCAGCTCCCCAACAAGACTTGAAGACTAAAATACAACACTTCCCTCTCCAGCTCTCCACAAGCAGCTCTAGGGAGTCTCTCCCCATTGCAAGACCTCCTTTGTCAGTCTACAGTGACAAGAGTTGGCTGCAGGAGGCATTTGCATTGGAACTTACCCTAGATGGGGGGAAGAAAAAGAAGAGGTGATTCCTCAGGAAAGAAAAATACAGTGTGGTTTGGGAAGACACAAGCACGACTTTGCTACAACTCTAGGCCAGAAATCCCTTGCATAAAGCAACATCCATCTGTGGGGCAGCACTACAGCTTTGAAGACAATGCTGACAGTATTGCTGGCCCTTCTTGCTGCTGTTGCTGACTCCGCCAGTGATATGCCAATTCTGCCAAAGACAGGCAGACACGGTGAGATAAAACCAGCTAGTCTGCTGAAAAGGAGGCCAAAGGGATGTTTTCTAATCCCCCTTTTCATCCTTTCCCCAGCCAAGACAGAGCAATGTCCTCTCCCTCTGTAGCCGATGGTGACCCAGGCGCGGGACGCAGCGTGGGGACAGAGCCCGCCGCCGCTCCCAGCGCCCTTGCCAGGGGCTTCCCCTGCCTGCCCAGCCGTGCTGTGCCGTGTTGTGCCGTGCCGAGCCCGGCCAGCCCCGGGAGCCGCCCCGCCCGCGCTGTGCCCGCGGCCCCGGCTCTGCCGCGCTCGTCCCGCCGAGTCCGGCCCGCGCCGGGGCCCGAGCGCAGCGCCCCCCTCAGGCCGCGCGCCGCCGGCGCAGCCGCGGCCGTTGCGCTGTGGCCGTTGTGGCAGCACTCGGCGATCGGCAACATGGCGGAGCTGCCGCTGCCCGCCGGGCTCTGCGCCAGCACCTTCCCCGCCAAGCTGTGGCGCCTGGTGAACAGCCCCCGCGTCCGCTCCGTGCGCTGGGACAGCCGGGCCCAGGGGCTGCTCATCGACCGCTCCCTCTTCGAGCGGGAGCTGCTCAGCCCGGGCGACGCCCAGGGGCCGGCCCCGCGCCCCTTCAGGGCCACGCGGTTCCGCAGCTTCGTGCGCCAGCTCCACCGGTACGGCTTCCGCAGGGTGCCGGGCCGGGCTGGCTCAGCTGCGCCGGGCGATGCCGGGGCCTGGCTCCACTACAGCAACCCCTGCTTTCGCCGCGACCGCCCCGACCTCCTGCTCCGCGTCAGGCGCCGGAGCACGCCCAACAGGCAGCGGCCGGCGGCGGGGCGGGAGTGCTGCAGGCGCCCGCCCTGCGGCTCCCAGCAGCTCCCCGGGGCACGGCTGCTGCCGGACGGGCAGGGCGGGCACGCTCGCTTCCAGCCGCTGCCCACGGAGCGGCCGCCGCTGCCGCCTGGGCGCCCGCCCAGCGCTTCCTCCTGCTGCACAGGGAGCGGACGCTGCCGGACGGGTGGGAGCTGCGCAGCCCCTGGCCCGGCCGCTTCCAGCAGCCGCCCGGAGAGCGGCCGCTGCTCGCCCGGCGCCCGCCCTGCGGCTTCCACCTGCTGCACCGGGACCGGCCCATGCCGGCCCGGCGGGAGGGGCCGAGCCGCTTCCAGGAGTTCTATGGGCAGCGGCCGCCGCCCGCCGAGCAGGAGTTGCTTCAGATCCCGCCCTCCGACTTGCTCGGTTTCTGCGGGGAGCCGCTGCTGCCGCTCGCAGGGGCGCAGCCCCGCAGCCGCTTCCAGGACCTCTACGGAGAGCAGCTGCCTCCAGTCGACCGGGAGCTGCTCAGGATGCAGCCCGGCAGCTTCCAGCCTCTCCACAGGGAGCAGCAGCCCCCAGCCTCTGTCTCGCAAGGTAGGAAAAGAGCTGTAGCTCCTTGCTTTTCCAAAAGGTCATGAAAAGTGACTGAAGTATCTTTCCATAAGGATCTGTCAGCTCTGTCATTCTTGGCCCAAAATTGTCAAGCCTATTAAACCTATTAGAAAGCCAGAAGGTTCTCTGTCTGGTTTTCCTGTGTGCTTCCTGTGATGTTTGATCCAGGGTAGCAACAGAGATCTGTGTCCCAGAGCCACATTGTGGAGCCTGACCAATGTGTTTGGATTCTTGCAGCTGCCTCAGGCACTTCAGCCCCCAGTGCTCCACCTGGCAGTGCTGCAGCATTGACAGCCTCCAGCTCAGCGCAGAAGGCCCCTGGGGAAGAGCAATTGCCACCAGTGGATCTGGGCTTTGCCATAGAGCAAATGATTTGGGAGATCAGGAGGTCCCTGTCTGAAAGGTCTCCCTCTGCTCAGGTAATCCCATTGGAGAGGAAGAGAAGAGGCTGGGCTGAGAGCTTTTCAATGTTGTTACATGGAGAAGGAGAGTAACTTATCCTTGATGTGATCCCAGCAAAATACCGAATGATCTCTAATTTTCTTATTTTCTATTGTTCTTTCAAGGGGAATATTAATGTTGTCCCTGAGTCTTCAGGAGGGGAGCCTGTGGACCGAGCTGCAGCCGAGGAAACTCCATCTGGCACCAAGAGCTGCGGGAACAGTTCTCCAGAGCCCGAGGAGCCTGGTAAGGACAGAGCCCCCATTGGTTTAGAGAGGTGTGAGACGGCTGCTCTGAGCCTGCCTCTGGCAGGAGGGGAGATGAGAAGAGTTGAGTTCTTGTCTGAAGGGTTGGTGCTTCCCGGTGCCTTTAGTTCAAATCCTGCACTGGCACAACCTGCCCAAGCCCTGCCCTCCATGCTTCTGTAGAGGCTCTGACACCAAGTCCTCTGCTGTGGCAAGAGAGCAGGGAATAAGCCTGACCTTGTGGGAGTTGTGTCACCAAGCTGGCTGTCCCAATTTGGTTCATAACTCAGCCCTCAGCAGCCTTCAGCCATTTCAGTGAGGACGGTGGTCTCTCTGTCACTGGCACTGTCTCTGTTTCAAGCTCTCTTGGGTGCCATTTGCACTGTGAGTGCTGAGACTCTGTCAGGATACTTAAATACTTTATACTGTTCAGTTTTGAACACTTGGAAGGATCCCTGTTCTTTAAAGAGCAGGCTTCAAATTGCCAAGTGAGAGTCTGCCTTTCAGGCCATCTTTTAAAGTTCCTCATGGACGGACAATTGGTGCTCAAGGGACACTTGGGCAAAGGCCAATATTGACTCAGTGTTTCCTTTGCTTCCCAGATCCAGTGTGATTGACTTCCCCAGGAGGGCTGCCCTGTGTGGCTGGAAGAGACAGAGGAAGAGCCTGTGACCATCGGGCAGGTAGAATTCCTCTGTCTCTAGTTATATTAATAGATGCGTATAGTTACATTTATGTATGTAGTTGTATGTATAGGTTTATATAGTTACATTTATCTATCTAGAGGGTTAGAGATCTGAATAGTTAATTTATTTTTAGCTTTAAGTGTATATATTTATATTTTTAGGTGTGCAGTTTTAGTTATAGATGCCCATAGTTGCATTTATACATGTGTATAGTTACATTTACGTGTATGTAGTTACATTTATAGATAGGCATCTTTATTTTGATGTATGGGAGTTTAGTTACATAGATTGATGCCTGTATAGGTATAGGCCTCTTTTTAACTTCTTCCTCTGCTCTGCTTCCTCCCTCACCTCTTGCTTTTCCTCCTGTGCCCCCTGTGTCCCCTCTGCCTGTGCTGGGTCCGAGCTGGGGCCGGGCCGGGCGGAGCAGCAGTTCGAGCCCGGGTGTCCCTGGAGCAGTGGGAGCTGCCGCTGGCCCCAGGCCCTGTCCCCTGAGGAGCTGCTGAAGGACGGTGAGAGCGAGGGGGCCGAGGGGGCGGTGACGCTGAAGGGACGGTGACCCTGAGGTGCTGCTGGGGCTGAGGGGTGTGGGGCAGCCGAGGGCGATGGTGGCACTGAGGTGACAGGGAAGTGGCACAGGCCGAGGGCGTGGCGGGTCTAGGGGGACAGGAAGGGTCAGAAGGGACTGAGGGGGTGAGAGGACTGTGAGGGGCTGAAGAAACTGAAGGGGGCTGGGGCTTTGCCGAGAGCATGGCGGGGCTGAGGGGATGGAGGGGCCGGCAGGGAGCACAGAGGGCTCCGGGACTGCAGCTCCGCCAGGCCTTGGAAGTAATTCCAGAGCCTCCGCTTTTGCCAGAGCTGCAGTGAAGACCTTGAGGACAGCCGGAGACCGACGGGATCCAGCAGGGAGAAGCCGCTGGCCAGCAGCAAGAGCAGGGATGGAGGACCTGCTGCTGCCACCCTGGAGAGAGCCCGGGTGAGGCACAGGACCGGGGAGGCAGGGTGGGGCTGAGGGTGGCGGGGCTGAGGCTGCGGGCACTGCCCGGCGGGGCAGGAGCGGGCCCTGCCCGTGCTGGGGCTGCTCAGCACAGCTGCCCCGGCTGGCACAGGGGCTGTCCTTGGGCAAGGCAGCTGTGCCGGCAGGGCCCGGGAGCTGTGCCGGCTGTGCCGGGCTGCCGGGGCTGGGGGACAGTCCCGCCGCGGCTACGCTCACCACGGCCTGGCCCGCTCGGCTGCTTTTTCCTTCTCACCCTCCTGGGGAGGCTCTGAGATCTTCTCCTCCCTCATGGAAGTGCAGCTGCTGCCAAGGGAAAGGTCCCCGTACTGACTCAGTGTTCCCTTTGCTTGCCAGCTGTGCCTTCTGCCATCCCTGTCCAGGAGAGCTGCTCTGCACGGGAGGAAGAGACTGAGGGAGAGGCTTTGGAGATGGGGTGTGGTAGGGGGTGTGGGTGGTGACCTCCCTGCATTACCATGGGAGGCCACTGATGTGTAGTTTCCCGCCTCCCCAATTGCCAATCATTTGTTATCCCTTCCCCCTGGTTATGTCAATCATTTTGTACTCCTTCCCTTTGTTCTAGAAAGTTCTCAGTTCTTTGTACCCCCATTGGTTCCTCCCCTGAAACCACTCCTTCCCCCTATCCCGGTTGGCCGTTGCCATGTCACTCTCCGTTGACTCCACCCTCAACCCCTTACCTGATTGGATGCCCTATACCCTGACCCTCCTTCCCTGTTACTGTTATAAACCCTGCCCCGCCCCTGGTTCGGGGCTCTCAGAGCTGGCTCGCCCTCTGAGTGGCTGTGTCCCTTCACCACCCTCGCCTTCCCTCACCGAAGCCCTCAGAATAAAGCCTTTAAGAGACACCCGCCTGGTGGAAGTCTTCTTCTCTCTACGACCATCGTGGCGTTACTGAGTTCCCGGACCTGCAGCTACCTGCGGCGATCTGGGGAACCCTCCAGGGCGTCACAACTGGCGCCCGAACACGCTGACCCCTGCACGGAGTCCAGCGGAGAGCGTCTCCTCGGCAGTTTCGGCTCTGTGAACCGGCTGTTCGAGGAATCCAAGCGCCGTTCGGACCCGGTTCCACGGACGACTGTGCTTCATTTTACGAAGACCCTTCGCCTCGTGGGCTGCGGACAACCGGAGGAGCAAGAACAGCAGCTTCGCGGAAGCTCCCTCGCACTCCGGACTCGCAGCGCTTCCACCCCCCCCCATTGAGGTCTTCTTCTTTTCGACGGGCGTCCCGTTGGTGAGTGTTTCCGTGCCCTGTCTGGCACCTGACCCCGTCCTCTTTTCTTTTCTGTTTGCCTTTGCCTCTTTGGGGAATTTCTTTTGCCACACAGACATAATGGGAAACCGCATGTCTCCGGCAAGGCGGGATTTTTATGCCCATGTTAAGTCTTCCCTTGTTCTGGGTAATATTTATTTTAAGAAAGGGATCTTAAGGCTTTAGTTAATTTAATTTTTGACCATCTTCCTGACACTGCGCAGGAAGATTTTAACTCCATTCAGTTTTGGGGAAAAGTTGGGCGTTTGCTTTACGACTTACAAGTTAAGGGGAATTTTAAAGTGGGACGTTTCTTTCCTTTGTTTCATTCTATTTTTACGTTATTTAAATCAAAACGGGAGAGTTGGGCTCCCAGTTTACCTAACCCTCATTCCGTCCCCCCCACTCCTAACCCTCTTTCCCCTAAGGGTGGGGTCGGGCGGCAGACCCTGCCAAAACTCGGCACAGGGTTGCCACCGTCTCCCTGCTGCCCCCGTCCCATCCTCTTTTCGGCCTGGGACTGGCCACCCCAGTTCAACCCTTTCCTCGCCCCACGACCCTCAGACCCCTCTCCCCAGTTTAAAGCCATGTTGTTCAATCTCCATTCTATGCCAGCATCCACCTCAAAATGGCGCCGGCCGCATGGCCGAGCTGGCATCAGAAGCGCCACAAAATGGCGTCCCGGCTCCTCCCTACTCCCCTCGGGTTCCCACCACTTCTCCATCGACCCCTCCTCCGCCGAGTGCCGCCCCTGCGCCGGGTCCCGCCCCATCCACAGCGTCGATGGTGTCATCGTCGGGACCCGCCCCTCCCGTCCCCTTGACCGCGCCCCTGGGTGGGCCCCCGGTGGGAGGGACCGGCCTACAGGAAGGCCACGCCCCTGTGGGTGGGAACCCCCTGCCAGAAGGCCCCGCCCCGGGAGGTGCGCCTAGCCCCGCCTCCCCCTCTCCAGCCACTTCTGGTTCTCACGCTACTGGAACCGGAAGTCGGCCTGGACGGAAGCAGGCCATCTTGGCCTGCAGGGCTCAATGCCACCGGAGCCCGACGGTCAGGGAGAGGTTCAAGGCCCTCACCCATCCTGCTTCATCCTCTGAAGAGGATGAGGACAGTGACAGCCCCCGGCCCACACCTAGGTCGGGAGACGGGTGGGCCAAGATCAGGGCGGCGGCCATCGAGGACGGAGATCTTGACCTAGCCAGAGATCTCGGGTCTTTCGCGGCACCGGTGGTCAGGGAGAGAGGAAAGCGGCCCCGATGGGAACAGATTCCGTATGCAGAGGTGAAGGAGCTGCGGAAAGCGGCCAAGGACTATGGCCGCGAGTCGCCATTTTTTAAGAATGTCTTAGACCTCACATTTTCCGGATGGACACTAGTGCAGCATGATTTACGGTACATCGCTAAGTCCCTGTTGACCCCCACGGAACTCTTGTTATGGGAGGTTCAGTGGAAAAAACTGCTGAAACCTCTCATCAAGAAGCACAACCTCTCTGAGACACTGGGCACAGGTGATGAAGTGATGGAGGCAATGGCTGGGGAGGGAGAATTCAGCCAGCCGGAAGATCAGATCCTGCTTCCAACTCCACTGCTCGACGACATCCGCGAGGCTGGCCGAGCTGCACTGTTAAAGATCCCAGATGGCAAAACTCCCTCCCAAAGCTTCTCTACAATACTACAAGGACCAGACGAGTCTTTTATTAAGTTCGTGGACCGCCTCAGAGAGGCGATCGAAAAGCAGATAGAGCACCCTGCGGCAA